GGATCATATATGCTAATATATGCTAAAAAGCTACCTACGTACCGAATTTTAAGCAAATCGGACCGTAAATACGATTTTTTCGAATAGATCAGTCCCTGGTCCACTTCTCGGAAAAAATGGACAATATATCCTAATATATGCTAAAAAACTACTTACGTACCGAATTTTAAGCAAATCGGACCATAAATGCGATTTCTTGGAATAGATCGGTCCCTGGACCACTTCCCGAAAAAAATGGGTCATATATGCTAATATATTCTAAAAAGCTACTTACGTACTCAATTTTAAGCAAATCGGACTATAATAAGATTTTTTCGAATAGACTGGTCCCTGGTCCACCTACCCGAAAAAAAGTAAAAATTTTTTAGCCTAAAACATGGTGGCTACCGGAAAACTATTTGTATACAAAATTTCATGAAAATCGGACCAGCCGTTCGCGAGATTACCTGTTACAAAAAAAAGGGACTTCTCTTTATATAATTAGTATAGATATGCTAAAACAGGTATCATGCAATTACTGCAAAATATGCACTAACGACTGAATGCCATTTTAAAGGAAATTTCATGACTCGTAAAGATAATTTAACAATTTCGATTTAAACATACCCAATAAAAACATGCATTTGCATGAGATTCCGAGCCCCACTAATAACCAAAATATATATAAACATATATTTTTTTAAATGGCGTTTATTATTAAAACGGTTATACTGCATACGTTGCGTAAAAGGTATTTAAATTATCTTTAAATTTGCTTCAATACGTTTGTAATTGGTCAAATTGTTTCCGAGATATTTATAGTTATCAAAAATAGAAAAGTTTACCTTTAAGCCCTTTTATTGCCTTTGGTTTTTATTTGCGCCAAATAATCTTGGTTTGGTTGAAATCAGCATGAAAATTTCTATCGAGTCACATTTTTCTTTGTTTTTTTGCTAAACGGTTGGTATTCTACAGCACGGCTAATTCGTACTAATTCTGTCTAAATCCTGGACTACGGGAACAGGCTAAATGTGAATAAGAAAAAGTAAATAAGCAAATGTCAAATTAAACTCTGAGTTTCTTAAACAATCTAATGAGAACACTTGACAGTTGTTCATAAACTCGAAACGTTAACCTCGAGCTAATGGCCCAACGTGAACATAGTATTACCAAATCCAAAAATATCTAAATTGTTTTTTCTTTTTCATTTTTTTAAGCTCAATGAACTACCGCAACACTGCCACCAGCATCGAAGAGTTTTTAGACAGTTCACACAATAGCCTCGATGAGCTATGGCGATTGCCTTACCAATATCCCCAGGAGCGCATGGCCGATCTATTGAATAGCATTGGTATTATACAATCCTTTAATTTAATTAAATACAATATTAATCTATCCATACATTATCTCAACAGGTAATGGATTGCTTGAAGAATGCATCAAACAACTTCAAACGGAGGATATATGGAGCCTTAGTTCTCATCACGTGAACGCGTTGATGAGCCTATGCATTGACACCACCGAGTCTTGGATACAACTGTGTGACTCGCTAACGCGTCTTTTCTGGCCAAATTACGCACAGCATCCGTGGATAGGTGTGCCGCACGTTCCCAAACGTAGTCAACAATTTAAAGAACGTCTGTTAGAGATTAAGAATATTAGAAATCTCTACAAACAAATTGCTACATTATTGAACGATGAGGAAATGAAGTGTATGCTCTATGAGAGTTCGCCATTTAAAGGTAAGGAGTAAATCAATCAAGAGTTACTATGGAATAGTTGCATAACATTTTGCCTTCCCCAGATATTAATATCTTTGATACAACTACTCTGGGTCAGACCAAATGGAATACAGCTTTGCAATGCTTTGAGCAAATTCTGCAACCCATCGATGAACGCCTCGCCTCCGCGCTCAAAGCTCTACTTCATAATCACCTTAGAAATCCTAGGCAGGTCATATTTATTTTTTCAAAATATGAGACACTCATTCAGAGGACAGCTGGACTTGAGTTGTTGACAATCGAGCGTGAACAATTTCTACAGTCTTTGCTGATTCTGCTGCAAGATTTACGCAAGGCCTTGTCCGATACAAATATGGAACCAGAAACCGGTCATCTATCTGTAATTTGTAATGAGTGTCGTTGGCTGAAAGTCGTGCAACATCAGGTATTACAGCACAATTTTAGTGATTAATCAATGAGCTTATGGCACTTTTTCGCAGATCCAAGAAATCGAGAAAGTGAGTCATTTAATTAGCGGTCGCGATGGCTATGACAAAATCAACAAAGCCGTACGAGAAATAAAAGAGGAGACTGAGTCCCTGCTACGTGCTAACTTCGAAATTTGGTGTGGTCAGTGCTCAACATCCGTCAAGAGTGGAGATTTAAAGTAATACGCATTACACACATAATCTTACTGCAGTTTCTTCATATCATGAGCTACTTTTCGCTTGCAGATTGCGTGAAGATCAGCCAGTGGTCAGGTTTGAGAAGGAAGGTCGCCAACTAATGCGAGTCACATTCAATCCCAAGCTGGTAACTTTTTGTCAGGATGTCCGTGAGTTTGAGAACCTTGGCTACAATGTCCCTACTGATTTGCGCTCATCATCCACGCATGCTGCAAAATTTATAAGCTATGCACGCCGCTTGCAACAGATTGCAACTTTCCACAACACTATTGGTGATCGTATGATACCGTGTCAAAGGCCCATCATGCTAAAGAATGCGGTTGAACTGTCGAACATGGTGCAAAGCCAGACGGTCGCTTGGAATGATGAGGAGTCAGTGCAACGTTATGTGAATATGCTACAAAAATCTGTGTCCAAGCTCTCTGCAGACAATACCCTTCTAGTAGGATACCACGAGCAAGCCAAAAGAACGGTGTGTAAACTGAAACAGAAATAAACTTAATAATATATTTTTCTGTATCAGGTAATTAGACTCATGAACACCGACTTGTTTACGAAAACTCAAGCCTGGAAAGATGAAATGCGCCATCTACGTGACTTAGTCGCCACAATAGAGCGTCAGAGTTTTACAAACTTAGACGCTTTTAAGTTACATTGGGATCATCAGCTCTACAAGGTGTTGGAATATCAGTATATCATTGGTCTAGTAGATATGAGAAATAAGCTGCCGGATATACACATAGATATTACGTTTAGGTATGCTTACTTATGAAAAATCCGATTACTTTGTTTATTATGTTGTTATTATTTTCTCAGGCGACGTCAACTTTGTTTCCGCCCTTCCGAAGAGGAGATACGCGAAAAATATTTTATCCAGCTTCGTCGCTTTATTGAACGCCCCAGTAGCTTTCGAGGGCTCTCTGACAATAGCACCGAGTTTTTTAAGTTAATGGTCGAAATGAATCGTCATCATTTCGGTCCCCTTTTTGAACACGCCGAGGAACTATTTCGAAAGCTTGAACAATTCAAGAAGATATGGCTTCCTTGGGTTGCCTTGGGTTGTGTTGACATCGAAGAACTATGCAGTATACACCTTAGCAAAGCATCGGATTGGGATTGTGAATTCAGGGCTTGCAAGAATTTCAGCCAGAAAATCGCTACAATTCAAAAGTAAATCCCTATTTCCGTTTACTTTTAAAAGCTTCTTATAATTTCATTTAAACTCATATCCTACAGTTGCGAAGAGTCAATTGAGTGCATTATAATTAACACTTCGCCCTTACGTTCAGAGATAGAATTGATTAGCCAACGTTATTGGGAGTCTTTGACCAACAACTTACGCTCCGCTATTGTGAATGATGTTACCACCATCCAAGAATTCTTGCAGAACTCACTGCAGTTTTTAAATAATGTACCAATGGGCGACACATCCCTCACAGAATCGGGAATGAAGTACGAAAAAATGATGTCGGAGTTACCGAAGGTACGTGTACTTGCACATATTAGGTGTGTACTCGTATTGAGAGAATTTAGCAGCATTCGCTCTCAAAGAGACGAAATATCAACAAAAGTACGAGAACGCAAAATTTGCAAAAACTTGCAACCTTCGAAACAGCTGATCACTTGCACAGTTGCCACTGGTGATTAATTTGGCAATTTATTTTCTGCTTGGTGCATTTTCCTCCGATTTGGCATTTTATACATTTGAATAGTTTTGGATAAGAAAAACCTTTTTAAAAAACGATTTAATTATATCGGAATGAATAAGTTATTTTTCTCATAATTATTTTTGATATCACATGGTGACGCATTAAAAACAATAGTATCTCCTCCAAACACCCATCATTGATCCAAAAAAATGTAATAGAGTAGGTTTAAAATTTTAAAATTTTCATTTCAACAATCAACCTACCGAAACCGAAAACTTCAGCAAAACAACATTTCAGCATGCTGCATTTAAATCTATTTTGGTATGTTTAAAGGTAAATTATGGTACAAACGAAAAATGTCATACGGCAACCATAGTCAGCACACACTAAAGTAAACAAACTGGAGATTAATAGCAAATTAACGAAAAATAAACTCAATGAATGTTGTGCTTATTAAATTTACGCACTTTTTAGTTGTATACTAGCATTAATAATAAAAATTGCAATAATAACTCAAAAAGGCCATATTTTCTTTTGTTTATTTACAAACATGTGTTTGTGATCAGCTGATTTTCTTACTTGCAAGTTTTAGCTGGGAAAAATTTTTCGAGCAGAAATTTGCAGCTCTCTTTCACATTTTGCTCTCTCAATTTCCCCTACTTTGCAAGTTTTTTGGGTACAAGAACGCAAAACCAGTAAAAGTTTTCTAAAACTTTAGATAGTTGGGCGTACGAGTACACACCTATTTCTGATGTGTTCATAATGGGGGGTATTCTTGAAATATTGCAAAGCCGTTGCATAATTTGTAAATACCACAACAAAATACATGGGAAACAACATTTCCTATTGCCGCAAAATATGCAGCGTTTACAGTTTAAGCCCATGCATATATTTTTCAAGAAAACATAGCAAGATAAATGTGCTATTTGTTTTGTTGTTGGAACTGCTTCATATTACTCTGATTTCGCTCACTTAATTTTTTGCTGTATGTTGTTGTATTTATCCCAGACATTTGATGCTAGCTAATTTTGCAATGGGGAGCACTCGTACTCTTGCAAATTTGGAATAGTATTTTTGCTTTTTGTGCAATCCGTGCAAAGTGCAGGACTTCGAAAATACCCCTTATATAATCAGAGAGCGCAATATTAAACCTGCATTCTTAATTGACGTAAATTTTACGTGTACGCCGCATACTTTTCACCGTTATGCCCAATTGCTATGTGCGCTCGGCAGTCTTGCAAAAACAAGTGAATAATTAATCGGTTGTCAGTCCGCGGTTTGCTTTCATCGTTATCACAAAAAAGTGTGCACGTAAAAAACGGATGACAACTACTTATTGCTCTAAATGTGGTGAGCATCAAATTAAAATATGCACGGTGTGTATGGTGAATGTCCCATACATTTTTCAATAATTTAGTTTAAGAATCAAAAAACTTTATATTTTCTTTCAATAAAATCAATACAGAAGATAAATAAGTTTTTATTAAACATTTATTTAAAATAACATACCTACTTGGTGTAGTACGTAAAATATACGTATATTACGAATAACGTAGGGTAAAACTGTCGTACGATTCTAGGGTTAACACAACTGTTCTTACGTTCAGCACAAAGTATTTGTTGTTGCATTTTGGAATGAATTTCCATTGTCCAAACTTAGTTTCGGTCTTATGCAATTTTCAGTGCCACTTATCACTTTTGAAAAAATATTGTCTTTCTCCGCCTTAGGTATCAGGGACTCTGGAAGTGGTCAAAGAAAAAGACAGCTGCCTCGCCGGCTGGTGCAAAGAGCGTGTAACAGCTCTGGCAAATATTCTTATTCAATGGGAACGACTAAAACCCTTAATCGAAAACCATGCGGTTATACTCCAACGTCAAGTTGATATGATTAAAGACCAAGCCCACTCGCAGATGCACAATTTACAAAATGAAGCCGAAAAGTTTTTACTCCGTTGGGAATCGACCATTAATGAGCTGGAGAGCAATGAAAATTCCACATTGGCACTCTTCAAGGAACGTCAAGAGCATTGGCAACAGATAAAATCAAAGAAAATGCAACTGCTTGAAGAATTCTCCAAGTTCAATATGTCACTTTCCCCCGAAGTGCTCGCTTTCGTCAGCAAAGTTGAAGATAAAGTCCAGGCGCAATTGAAAGAATGGGAAATCTACGATAACTATCTGTGTGAACTAAATGCCATTACCGGCGAAGAATGGGCCGTTTATCGGCGCCGCCCATATGTTCTTAATGAGTTTATCAACAAGTGGGAGAGCTCTGTTCACGCATCTATCGATCTGCCTTCAAAGCGTATAAGACAGAGCGTAGAACAGTTACAGAGCGTTATGCCTATTCTACAACAATTGCAATCTGATTCTTTGACGGAACGGCATTGGGCTTGCATTTTTATGTTGTTAAACAAAACAGAGATCAAGCTCATTCACAATTTATATTTGCGTGACATATTGGACGACTATAACGCACTGCAACAGACATCTGTGGAAATAGCAAATCTGGTGAAAAAAGCAGCCTCTGAGCAAATAGTGCGGCAAGCTTTGACCGAATTGGATCAGTGGTCTGTTTTGGCTGTCCTAAAACTTACCAGCCAAAAAGATTCCGCGGGCAACGAGTTATCGCTTATCAAGGACTATCAGGAAGTGTTGAATAAAATTGGCGATAACCAGTATTTACTACAGTCGGCTAAAAATTCGGCAGCATTCGAAGCTTTCTCAGATCAAGTCGAATTGTGGGAGAGTCGATTAAATACTTTAGACTTACTACTTACTAGTCTGAGTCAGTCGCAAAGGCGGTAAGTAAAGCAAAGTACGAAGGTAGGTCAACAAGACCAAGACTTTTGAATTTCTCGCATTGCATGACAGTAACACTGGTCCCATAAACTACTTTATGTCGTTGTATTGGAAATTCATTGAAGGTAGACGACCACCTGATACAAAACCGAAAGAGTTATAGTATGTTCACGTTAAGCCATAAACTCGAGTTAAACGTTTTGTATTTATGAACAACTGTCAAGTGTTCTCATTGGGGTGTTTAAAAAGCTCAGAGTTTAATTTGAAATTTGTTGTTTTTTTTTATTTACATTGCTTATGATTTCATACTTATATTTCAGGTGAACTTAAAACCTTTAATAGAAACTAGTTAAATGTACTTCTGGCTTTTTATCACTTTTAAATTTTCGTTTGGAATAATTTTCAGGAGTAACTCTATTCAGAGATCTTATTTGGAAAATTACCGTACACACTATATCTGCTTAAGTTTTGACAAATTCACTTTTTGCAAAAAAGCTCAAGCTACACGTTCATAAATAAATGAAACAGTAAAAGTCTCCTTATATTTACGAAACTTCTCATAGAAGAATTTATATTTTGTTTACCCAGGCTTAATAATAGATTACTCTGTAAGGTAATATTAAATAATATCTATGTACAAGTAATAGTAAAAATTCCGAGTTTGTAGAAAGTTTTAAATAAACCGACTTTTCTCTTCTGTAAAAATTTCGGACCATCTTGTACGTGCACGGTTGGCAAAATGTTAATCTAATTAATGATTAAAAGCAAGCAAAGCAGTCGCTGTACTTAACCGCTGTACTTTCTACCTCCGATTTGTGTTAATCAGGCATTGAACAAGCGGCCCTAAGTGCAGGTTAAACATCGTTATCGACTCCATAACATATACCAGGCAGTCTATAACAGAGTTGGGAGTAGTGCACCACTAGGCATTTCACTAGCAATAAATATATTGGAAGAAATTATTTTTTTCACAATTTATCACCAGCTTAGTGGTAATGGAAATATTCAGCGAAACACTTTAGTGATAGTTGTATTTTGTTTCACTATAACTAAATTTAGTGGTAGTGAATAGTCACTACTAGGGATGTTGCGAATGTGGAATTTTAGACATCCACGGATGCGAATTCGGATGTCAAGTATTTTTAATAAATAATTTAAGTGAGTAAATTAGGCGATTAGGTAAATAAAAAATGGAAAAGCAAGTAATTTTTAATACTGTTTTCTTTTTAGTGCTTGAATTTAAAAATTGGAATATTGTTTTTAATAAAAAGTAATGCTGTTGCCTATTCGGGTAAGAGTCTGTTTCTTAAAGGGTCGCGTATATCAAACCTGTGCCACTAAGCAGCTACTCGCTCGAGGCGAAAACTTTTAACCTTGACAAAATTGTAAATTCTTTGCGATCGACGCTGCACCAGTTGAGAGGACTTTTAGCTATATTTATTTATTTTTTTATTGCGGTGCAATAATTCCTTTTTGAGAAGTGCATCAAGGCTGCAAATGTCGGATGTACCCTCCTGACTTTCATCTTCACAATTAGCATCATGGCAAGATCCCTGTTTAAACAAGGGACTGTAACGGTTATAACTTTTATTATAAAAATCACTTTTTCATCCTTATTAACTGAGTTTTATTTTTTGCTCAAAACATAACGACTATTTTTTGAGTTTTATTTTTTACTCAGACAATAATCGTTATCTTTTGAGTCTTATTTTTTGCTCGGAAAATAATCGTTACGTTTTAAGTTTTATTTTTTGCTCGGAAAACAATGGTTACGTTTTAAGTTTTATTTTTTGCTCGGAAAATAATCGTTACGTTTTACGTTTTATTTTTTGCTCTGAAAATAATGGCTACGTTTTAAGTTTTATTTTTTGCTCGGAAAATAATCGTTACGTTTTAAGTTTTATTTTTTGCTCGGAAAATAATCGTTATTTGTTGAGTTTTATTTTTTGCTCAGAAAATAAAAATTAATTTTTACGTATGCGTATGCGCATGCGTGAATATACAGTGGGCGGCTGCATGAACTTTTAACGCCACTGCGGAGCGGGTAATGAAAATACAGAGAGCAAGATACAAGGGCAGAAACAAAGACAAGAGCAACGACAAAACCACAGACACTCACAACCTATATTGAAGGATCAAGCCAATGATAAAGATAAAGAACAGGACAAAGTTAAAGATAAATAAGAAGACAAGGATAAAAGATAAAGATACAAGATACAAGATACAAGATACAAGGTAAAGATGAAGATGAAGATGAAGATGAAGATGAAGATGAAGATGAAGATAAAGATAAAGATGAAGATGAAGATGAAGATGACTTAAAGCGTAACGATTATTTTCCGAGCAAAAAATAAAACTCAAAACATAACGATTAATTTCTTAGCAAAAAAATAACACTCAAAAAATAATGATTAAACTAGATTTTTATAAGTAAAAATTAAAAAATAAAAATCAGTGCAGCTGAAGATATTCCGAGTAGAAGATGAAGATGACAATGAAGACGATGAAGATGAAGATCACCTTTATCCTCATCTCCATTTTCATCCTCATCTTCATCTTCATTTCCATCTTCGTCTTCATATTCATCTCCATCATTTTCTTTATCCTTGTCTTTTTAATTATCTTAAACTTTATCCTATTCTTCATCTATATTATTGGTTTGATCCTTCAATATAGGTGGTGAGTGTCTGTGGTTTTATCGTTGCTCTTGTCTTTGTTCTGCCCTTGTATATTGCTCTCTGTATTTTCGTTACCCACTGCACAGTGACGTTAGAAGTGCAATGCAGCCGCCCCTAGTCTATTCACGCATGCGCATACGCATACGCAAAAATTAAGTTAAGCAAACAAAAAATAAAACTTAAAACGTAACCATTATTTTCCGAGCAAAAAAATAAAACTTAAAACGTAACCATTATTTTCCGAGCAAAGAATAAAACTTAAAACGTAACCATTATTTTCCGAGCGAAAAATAAAACTTAAAGCGTAACGATTATTTTCCAAGCAAAAAATAAAACTCAAAACATAACTATTAATTTCTGAGCAAAAAAATAACACTCAAAAAATAATGATTAAACTAGATTTTTATAAGTAAAAATTAAAAAATAAAAATCAATGCAGCTGAAGATATTCCGAGTAATAAGAAATACATATATTGGTTTACTTCTTACGCACGTAGCATTTCTCTTTCAGTGAGATTTTTTGAGTTGCAATTTCAAAGATAATCGTTATTTGCGGTCCCTGGTTTAAACGCCATTGTTTTCCAAAAATATCTTCATTCTCATTCCTTTGGTTGTTCAGAATTTCTAACGTCACCAGCGTTTTTCGATTTTAGTTTTTGAATTCATATTTAATCCTTTCTTCTGTGACTGGTTTGAAAAATTTGTGCTTATAGCGAGGTTCTTAATAGACCGATATGGCAAATAAATTGTTATTCTTTAGGATGAAAATTTCTTAGAAAATTCTGTTTTGATAGTCGTGGCTGCCAGCCACATTGGTAAAAAGCACCAATTTTTTTTATAATAATTTGAATTATTGGAATCACGGACTATGAAGGTCTCAGATCTGCTTAGTTCCCGGGTGACTTCTTGAAAATGAATAGCTTGTAATTCGTTTTTCGCTAGCGATGCATCCAGTTTTTTCAACAGACCTTTGGCAAAAAATATTCGGTACTTACATAATTCTTACCTAATTAAATTAAATTTTAACGCGCAAATAGTCGATTCTCTTTATAGCTAGACGTTGAACATTTCCGCTGGAAATACCTATTGAAGGATCTTAAGGTGCCAACACTCACCGACGTGTACGTATGTCGTGACTGTTTGACGGAGCAACATATAAACGTTACTGTTGATAGAGAGGGAGAGAGAAGCACGCGTAAACGTCGCACGTACACGGTGGTGAGTTTTCATTTACATGGCGCTCTCATAAGTTTGATCGTATCAGCTGACATGTTAACGTACGTTTGCGTCAATGACACGATCAAACTTATGAGAGCGCCATGTAAATAAAAACTCACCACCGTGTACGTGGGACGGTTACGCGTGCTTCTCTCTCCCTCTATCAACAGTAAATTTTGTATGTTGCTACCTCAAAAAGACACGGCATACGTACACGTCGCACAATATTCGCATTCGCAAAACCTCCGCATTGATTATTACGAATGCGAATGTTAAAATTAATGCGGAAGCTCCGCGGTTGCGAATGCGAATGCGAATATTCGCAACAACCCTATTCACTACATACAACCAGCAATGAAAAGTATTTTCACTAAACTTTCAAAAATTAATGCTAATAAAATTTTTGGAGCTGAAATTTCATATGCCGCATGTATGTACAAATGTAACATCATCACTTGAGTTCGCCTTGACCGATCTGGTTAATACCTTTCTTGGCGGGGTCGCGAAAATCTCCTCACAAGGTGTGCCTAGAGTTGAGCCATTATCTGTACTAATCTACATATACTAATTATATAAAGAAAAGTCTCTTTTTTTGTAACAGGTAATCTCGCGAACGGCTAGTCCGATGTTTATGAAATTTTGTATATAAATAGCTTTCAGCAACCGTAGTATTTATGGTCCGATTTGCTTAAAGTTTTGCACGTAGGTAGCTTTTTTCCTAGATTAGCTTATAGGATCCCTTTTCCCCGGTAAGTGGACTAGCGACGTAGGTAGCTTTTTGTCTAGATTAGCATATAGAATCCCTTTTTCCGGTTAATAGACCAGGGACCGATCTATTCGAAAAAATCGTATTTATGTATTCATGGTCAGATTTGTTTGAAATTTGGCACGTTGGTTGCTTATTGCCTGGATTAACATAATGAATTCTTTTTTCCGGAAAGTGGACCAGGAACCGATCTATTCGCAAAAATCGTATTTAAGGTCCGATTTGCTTAAAATTTGGTACGTAGGTAGTTTTTTGCTTAGATTAGCATAGGGGATCCTTTTTCCGGGAAGTGGGCCAGGGACCAGGGACCGAAAAAATCATATTTATGATCCAATTTGCT